TTGCTACCATATTTAGAGATTATACAGGTTATGGTTTCTGTAGTTCTAGATTGACATTGTCCATATAAGGGCATATTGCTTCCATATTTAGAGATTATACAGGTTATGGTTTCTGTAGTTCTAAATTGACATTGTCCATATAAGGGCATAGTGCTACCATATTTAGAGATTATAAAGGTTATGGTTTCTGTAGCTCCAGATTGATATTGTCCATATAAGGGCATAGTGCTACCATATTTAGAGATTATACAGGTTATGGTTTCTGTAGTTCCAGATTGACGATGTCCATATAAAGGCATAGTGCTACCATATTTTGAAGTTATACAGGTTATGGTTTCTGTAGCTCCAGATTGATATTGTCCATATAAGGGCATAGTGCAACCATATTTAGAGATTACACAGGTTATGGTTTCTGTAGTTCCAGATTGACGATGTCCATATAAAGGCATAGTGCTACCATATTTTGAAGTTATACAGGTTATGGTTTCTGTAGCTCCAGATTGATATTGTCCATATAAGGGCATAGTGCTACCATATTTAGAGATTACACAGGTTATGGTTTCTGTAGTTCCAGATTGACGATGTCCATATAAAGGCATAGTGCTACCATATTTTGAAATTATACAGGTTATGGTTTCTGTAGTTCCAGATTGATATTGTCCATATAAGGGCATAGTGCTACCATATTTAGAGATTACACAGGTCATTGGTTTCTCTAGTTCCAGATTGACGATGTCCATATAAAGGCATAGTGCTACCATATTTTGAAGTTATACAGGTTATGGTTTCTGTAGTTCCATATTCAAAGATTATACAGTTTATGGTTTCTGTAGTTCCAGATTCACATTGTCCATATAAGGACATAGTGCTACCATATTTAGAGATTAATGCATAGATAATTACTAAATACTAACCTGTAATATTCTGATCATTTCCAGTGTTACAGCCAATAAGTATGGTGCTTGTTTTGATTTGATATGTAGTTGTGTAAAATTATTGTTGGAAACAGAGTAAATTTCATATGTGATGTAAACGTCTTCTTCGGCTCTTGTCCAGCTGTGGAGGAAAGAAAACACAAACAATAAGAATATTTTTCATTGTTATTTACTGAGAAAATTTTTACTTAGTCGTCGTTACAATTGTAGATCATTAGCATCATGACAAAACAGCATATGTCAGAATGACATTGTAATAAACACAATTCATTTTTAATTGTAACTATTACGCAACAATATTTGGGTATTTGTTTTGATGAGATCAGTTATTAGCTATCCTTAGAATGCTCCATGACTGCAGGGAAGAAGTGCTGTGTAGCTAAGCAATTTGGTGCCATAAGTGAGTGTCTGCATACAGTATATGTTAACTTTGATTAAACTTGAAATTTCAAGACAGAATTTGTTGCGTCACCATTTTTAGCACAGAGACCATTCAGCAAACTCCATTCATTATACCAAAATGTCAATAATTTTATTATGTCATATATTCAGTGTTGTTATGCTAAATAGCATCTGTACGGTATCAAATTACTATAGAGACACAACAAATCCTGTCTTGAGAATGTCAGTGACATCACTGAGTTCATAGAAGTCAACATTGTAAGTGTACACACAATAAACCACCAAACTGATAGCAACATGCCACTGTTGGAAACAGCTGGGTGACAGTCAAAATATTATTGTTATTGCGTTAGTAGAATTCTGATTAGTTCATTTTTTTCATCTGTGGCACTTACAAAATGCTTTATTGAATTCTAAAGAATTTTATAGAATCTTTTCTGCACAATTATATAGAAAATTCTACAGAAAATCTATAGTATACATGTATCTTTATAAATTCTATAGAATTTTTTGTAGGGAAAGGGAGGTTTTAGTATGAAATAAATAACACTTGTATAATGAAACAAGCAGCCTCTCGGCTGAGATAGGTCCGCTGTTAGCAATGCCCATTTCAATTAAAGAACAGAAGATACCATTAGAAAATGAACAATATGCATAGTATCAATGCTATTGGACTTGCTGTTTTAAACAAGAATTCAAAAATATCATTTTTTTACCATAAATGATTGCGGTTTTTAACAAGAAGTTGAAAATATCACTTTTTACCAAAAATGACAAGAATATTCACCAAAATTAGAGAATTGAAGATATGATCATGAAATGAACAAATCTGAGAGAGGTTTACCCAAGGTACATATACACCAAATATCAAAGCATTCAGGATCGTAGTTTTCAAGAAGAAGTCGAAAAAGTAAAACAATGACATGATGATGATTTCTCAATTTATATTTACAGTAACTCAAATAACTTGTTTGCAAAAATGCAAGAATACAAAAAGAGTTGTTTTTATGTTGACTCAAAATATCTTCTTTAAGTTGCATGGATAAGGACATGAGACACAGAAAACAGGAATAGGCTGACAGTTTTCATGAATATAGTGTGTCTGTTCAATTCAGCAATGACTATGTGAATATTAAACTACAGTACAAAACGTACAGCATTTAGCACAAAAAGGGCAAACAAAATACAATGATCCATCAGTTCAGCCAATAAGAAGAAGGGACATGTCTGGCATGCTGTGTGTTGTGTATTTTTACTGTTTTTATTATGCTACTACGAACTGTTAATTTTTGTATCATGTTTTTTCTCGCTCCAGTGAAAGTCTATCTAAGCTTTAATAGATTATTATTTACACAACTATTTCAAACAATTTTTAAAAATAAAATACAATGTTTTAAGATAACACACACACAATAGAACATCAATCTGATTTCTTAGCGTGAGGCAATGCGCGAACCCAAAGACGCACACTTTCATATTTAAAGTACTGATTATTGTGGATTCTTTAAGCGTTGAATGGTACCATTCAAACTTTCCATCTCATCGCAGAAATTCGTTCATAACGTCACTAGCCCAAGAGTTTGTGTTGCAGAATACTAGTCACATGACAGTAACAAAGGAATACTACTTTTTCCATCATCAGACAATTTAAAAATTATGTATGAAATAGTACGACAGTGTACCTAGGTACTGGTATATAAATTTATCCTGGAATTCACTGGATCAAACGCTTATTACTGATCGACCAAAAACAAGTATTAGTGATTTGATTGATTGATTGATTGAATTTAATTTAAATATATATGCTTGCATTAAATTACCAAACTGTCTAATTCTATAATTTCTATTACTTTGAGCAAGAATAAGGCCCTGCATTGTCTCTCCAACCCATAGATTGTATTGACTTCAGCAACCAACCACACAAATGGCATAATTGCTACACTACTACAAATTACTGTTTAGCATTTCAGGGATATTCAGTGGGTTTTAAATTCATATCATTTAGATAATGTGTTCTATGCTCAATTTTACATATTCACTGAGTTTTAATTTAGTGTATTTTCCAGTCATTAAAATAAGCAAAATTAAAACCCGGTGTATAATTAACACTTTAACAGTATATGAATTTGGGCAATGTTCAACACCAGTGTTTTTGCACCTGGGAAATGTTAACATTTCAACACCTGTGTTTTTACACATGGGAAATGTTAACATTTCAACACCTGTGTTTTTACACATGGGCAATGTTAACATTTCAACACCTGTGTTTTTACACATGGGAAATGTTAACATTTCAACACCTGTGTGTTTACACATGGGAAATGTTAACATTTCAACACCTGTGTGTTTACACATGGGAAATGTTAACATTTCAACACCCGTGTTTTTACACATGGGAAATGTTAACATTTCAACACCTGTGTTTTTACACCTGGGCAATGTTAACAATAAAATTAACACCTGTGTTTTTAGAGCTGGGCAATGTTAACATTTCAACACCTGTGTTTTTACACATGGGAAATGTTAACAATAAAATTAACACCTGTGTTTTTAGAGTTGGGCAATGTTAACATTTCAACACCAGTGTTTTTACACCTGGGAAATGTTAACATTTCAACACCTGTGTTTTTACACATGGGAAATGTTAACATTTCAACACCTGTGTTTTTACACATGGGAAATGTTAACATTTCAACACCTGTGTTTTTACACATGGGAAATGTTAACATTTCAACACCTGTGTGTTTACACCTGGGCAATGTTAACAATAAAATTAACACCTGTGTTTTTAGAGCTGGGCAATGTTAACAATAAAATTAACACCTGTGTTTTTAGAGCTGGGCAATGTTAACATTTCAACACCAGTGTTTTTACAAATGGGAAATGTTAACATTTCAACACCTTTGATTTCACACCTGGACATTGTTGGAGTTTT